ATGCTGTTTGCTGCAAAAAGTGGCCTCTCCTTCCTTGCCTCTGTCCAATGGTGTGAAGGCAGTCCCTCATAAATCACTCAACTCCACGTTTTTACTAGATCTGGAGGCAACAGGTCCTAATGGTTTAAGGTTTTCCTTTAGCACCTTAAGCTTCACTTTGAGAAGAAGCCGCCATTCTTGTCAAAGATACTACAAAGAAGTAGCCACTTCCCAGGCAACAATGGTGGGGTCATAACTCAGCTCCTCTGTAATTGCTGTTATCTTTGGCACTGTCACATTTCTTTTTTTCCTTCTTTCGGGTTGTGTTTGTGTAATGGTACATAACCAGACAGGATAACTTCAGACAGATCAGCTGAAATGCATACAAAAAGCTAAAAAAAAATACACATAATTCCTTCATACTCCATAATGACAAAAGACAACAGGGAAAGAACAAGATTAAAACAAAGTCATTCTGATAGTCCAAATGGCAAATGTCACAACGCATACAGAGGTGCATAACCACATGCAACCATATTGCAAGTATGGTGGCATCCCCACTAGGACTGTGAAGGGAGATCAGAGAGCTTCTCCCAGGTTTAATTACTTAGTATGGATAGAAAACATAAAGATATTTAATAGAAAATGTTACTAGCAGGCCATAAGGACACAAGTGGTTCATCTGATGACTTCACAAGAGATGTTTCAGAACCTTTTTCAAACAACGTCAATATTCAGAATTCCTCATAGACTATCAACTGACCTCAAAACCAGACTTTTAAATGAAAAGACCACAGAGGCAATATTGTTTCCTTGGGTGAGCTGTTGACAGAAAAGCATGCTTGGGAACTTCTGCTCAGTGATGAAGGCTCAAATTAAATCTAGAACTAAAAACAGGTTCTGACCAATATGATTCAAATAAATAGGAAACAAAGTTGAAATGAAGAGCCAAAAATTTACAATTTTCAGCAGCATTTTATGTTGAAAGGTGTTATGTTATGATGAAGCATGACTTCCTTTTCATAAATCCATGCTGCCTATTCCCAATCACCTTCTCGTCCTTCATATGTTTGGAAACGATTTCCAGGATTATTTGCTCCATCACCTTCCCAGGGTTCAAAGTGGAGTTGACCAGCCTGTAGTTCACTGAATCCTCCTTCTCGCCCTTCCTGAAGATAGGAGTGACAATAGCTTTCTTACAGCCCTCAGGAACCTCTCCTGATCTCCAAGACCTTTTGAAGATTATCAAGAGTG